TTATTGGACTAATGTGGTTCCCTCTGGTTTTTTAAAACTAGCTAGACATTGTTTATCTCTCCTTTCTCTCTCACTGTGTAACCCTTCCGCCATGGTTTCCTTGTTTAAAGTGCCCCCATTTTTTGCATTTCTCCCTTGATAGTACCCGCCACCTATGGTCCCACCTCTCTTGAGCTCCTTCTTTCCCTTTATCTCCAAGGTTCCTTGAATAATCCTCTCTCCCCTCCCATTTAAATAACCCCATTAAAATTATTTATTTATTTATTATTTTTATTTTATGTGTATGAGTGTATTGCCTGCATGTATGTGAGTGCACCTGTGTCGTGCAATGCCGCGGAGGTCAGAAGAGGGCTTTGGATTTCCCTGGAACTGGAGTGAAGGATGGTTTGTAGCCACCATGTGGATGCTGGGAATCGAACCCGGTCCTCTGCAAGAGCAGTCAGTGCTCTTAACTGCTGAGCCATCTCTCCAGGCCCAATAACCCCATTTAAAAAGAAAAATTTTTATTTATTATTTTTATTTTATGTGTATGAGTGTATTGCCTGCATGTAGGTAAGTGCACCTGTGTCGTGCAATGTCTGCAGAGGACAGAAGAGGCTGTTGGATCCCCTGGAACTTGAATTATGGACAGTTGTTAGCTGTCATGTGGATGCTGGGATTCAAACCTGGGCCTTCTGCAAGAACAACCAGTGTTCTTAACTGCTGAGCCATCTGTGCAGCCCCAATAACCCCATTTTTATCCATTTTTCCCTTAGTAACACCTGTTTCCTACTGTTCTTCTCTCTCAGGTTCTTTCTTTTCCTTTATTTCATTCAATTTCAGTCAAGAACTTTCACTGAAATCTTTTATGTAACTCTTTCTGATCACTCTGGCTTATAGTTGTTACTGCTCTTCTGACATATGTAGTATGTCTTCAAAATGACAGCAGACAATTTTGGATTATTAACCTCAAGAAATTTAGATTTGGCTAGGCAAGGTGGCACATACCTTTAATCATCTCAGAAAAAAAAAAGGAAAGAAAAGAAGGAGAAATTTACATTCCAGTTAGTGCCTTTGTACTAACTAGCTTTACAATATCAGTCAAATTACTTGACACTTCTTGGCTTCAAAATTTGTCTTTTAGAAGAAGAAAAAGAAGGAGGAGGAGGAGCAGCAGTAAAGAAGATTCCTAGGAACTCAGTGATATGCTCCATACAGTATGAGAAATAGATCTTAGAAAATGTATTTTAATATAGACATAATATTTACAAATGAATATTTTTCAAATACTGTTAACTCTCAGGTATTTGAACCATCTTTCCTCAAATCTTCAATGTACTATTAACTTGAACAGTTTTAAATGAAAGGTGCACTAAACAGAGTCACACTTTAGCTCAATTCAATCCAAATAGTAACAACAACCTACTCTTCAATTTTACATTGATTGTAAAAATCATGGTAGGTGATAAGAACAAGAGCTGAAAAGTAGAATCATACAGAATTTAAAAACCACACTCAAGCCTTTTTAAATGACAAGAATATAACTGTCACTCTCTCCCCTTATCTGTCATAGCTTAGTATGGGTTCTGTGCTTGAAAACATTCTTGATTCCTTCTTAGCCTGCTTTAAACACAGGGCACAGTTCTTCCCAGGACTCTCCTTGTTTCCCTGGCGAGTTTCTCACGGAGGCTTCTGTATAAAAGTATTTGCTTTCATTAGAAAAGGGCTACAAAGGAAAAAGAAGGAGGCAAGCTGCACAGAATATCAATAGGCGGTACAGTAATGTACCTTGTTTCTTTTGTTAAATTCCCAGTACAGATTTCCATTAGAATAGTAATAAATTCTTTCCTCCTACATTCCACTTCTGAGTCCTCAACCATTTACTTACAGCTTGTTTAATATAGTACTCAGTACTCTAAGATTAGAAAGCCTAGATTAGCATCACTTACTTAATAACAACAACAACGGCAACAACCACCACCACCACCACCATAACCCTGCTCTCAGTTTGACATAAGTTATAGGTACCAAATAAAAGGATATACATTAGAAATGGACACATTTTGCTAAATGCCTATACTAGTTATAGTTTGTTGTTCTTTACACTCTTTTCACAGTACATTTTAAAGTTAAATGTAACATCAGTATTACAACATTATTAGAAAATGTCTATCATAAATCAAGTAAGGACTCCACATAGTTAAACATCACAGATCCTCCAGCTGCTCCTCCCACCCCCAGCTCTCTTTGGGCAAAGGGCTGATAAAACATGGCCCTGCAATCTTCCTCCTCTTTGCAGCTGGAAACAATCTTGAATTAGAGCTTTACTTTCATCAGTGCCTGTGACTTCTAGCACACAGGCTAGGTCACTATGGTATGGAACTTACCATCCACCTGAACACTATGAGTCAGAAACTCCATTTGTTCTTGGGCTCTGAAGGAATGAGGGGTCTGTGTCCTTTAAGGGCCCTATCATGGCTACTCATGGCCTTTGATGCTGTCTCTCCTAACTGCTCTCCCGCTTCAGGGCCTCCTCATGGCTGTCTATGGCCATGAGCCTGTAGCTCTCTTAATGAAAGTTTATCTGAAGGATAATTCCTTAGCTTCCTTGTCTACAAACCTTCCTTTTAAAAAAGCTACAACAATTAGTATACTAATATAAGAGTCTTTTAAAGGTCCTTTGGCCTTTATGATAATGTCAGTAATATAGTATATTAAGCTGTCCCCCCCACCACCCACAAAAAACAAAACAAAGCTGGCTGTTGTGGCCTAGGTACATGGAGGGCTGAGGTAGGAGTATTGGGAGTTTAGAAGCTAGTCTATGATACATGGTAAGATCCTGTTTCAAACAAGCAAACACACACACACATACACACACACACACACACACACACACCTCACAAAATGAAACAATAGAAGCAAGAACAGATATAAAATTATAGGTCAGAGAAGCGCAGTTTAGGGCTAAAACGATTTAGAAAAAAGCTCCTTTTACATTTATGTCTCAGAGTTCATTAACATACTTGGAGGCAGGGCTAGTACCACTGTTGAATGGGAACTAATCCTACAGACTACAGTAAGTTTGCTTCTTAGACTTTTAGGCTTGCTCACTTTATGCCTTTTAAGATTCTTGTATTAATCCCATCTCTTCTCACAAGTTGATTTTTGTGTTCTTTAAGGTTACATATACATCAAGATAGGTTTTAGGTACTAGAAATTTATATAGGTTACTGCTCAGGCAGGTTGTTGCCCTGCCCCCCTGAAGTCCTTTCCACTCCTTTAAGTTGGCTGGTTACTTAGCTACGAACTTCTCTTTTTGATTAAGAAAATATTTTTTGATTCCTTCATTTTTATTTTCTGTATATGTGTGTTTTTCCTACATGGATGTAAGTGCAATCATGTCATGTGATATCTGAGGAGGGCAGTAGTGGGAGTAAGATCCCCTTGAACTGCAGTTACAGATGGGAGCTGGGAACCAAACCTGGGTTCTCTGCAAGAGCAGTAAGGGCTCTTAACTGCTGAGCCATCTCTCTAACCCAGCTATGAACTTGTTTAGAGTTAAAAAATTCAGGTAGATAAAAATGGTGAAGATTTAAAGAACAATGTATAAAGACACATCAAACAATCTCTATTCCAATGTTTGGGGATGGGGAAGGGGGATCAGAAAGAACTTTAAAAAGTAGGCAAGATGTTAGTGTCTAAGATTTGCACTGTGCCTACTTTTTATCCAAGATTGGTTGACAGAATACCCTGCCACAGCATACCTTGTAAAATGAGAGGGTAGAGTCTGGAAAAGCCTAACTTAGGGAAAGGATCCATGCATAATGAGCTCTACTCAGTTACAGGTAGAGATAAGGGAGAAGGAGGTGATTATAGGTGATAGATACATGGTATCCATCATTCTGACTGATCTAGTTTCATCTCCACCAGGCTCAGAGAACTGGAGATAGTGATGGTGAGAAGAGGCTGAGTAGCAGTAGTGCTTAGTAATGGGATGCTCAGGAAGCATGGACATTTTCTTTTAAAAATATTTTATTAATTATTTTTATTTTATGTGTATGTATGTATTGCCTGCATGCAGGTAGGTGTACCGGTGTCATGCAATGTCTGCAGAGGTCAGAGGAGGGCCATGGATCCTCTGGAACTGGAGTTACAGATGACTGTTAGTGGGTCATGTAGGTGCTGGGAATTGAACCTGGGTCCTCTGCGAGAGAAGTGAGTGCTTTTATCGCTAAGCCATCTCTCCTGCCCCAACCACAGACCTCTTCTGATGACATGTGAGACACAACACTAGAAGCTGACAGAAATGTTTGGAGAATTTGCTGGAGTTCTGAGTTAATTTGATAGGCTCTTAAAGATGGGAAATTATAGTTAAAGTGATTTCTTGCCAGGCATGGTGACGCATGCCTTCAATCCCAGCACTTGGGAGGCAGAGGCAGGCGGATCTCTATGAGTTCAAGGCCAGCCTCGTCTACATAGTGAGTTCCAGGGCAGCTGGGGCTACAGAGAGACCCTGTTTCAAAAAGACCATAAAACAAAATAAAATGATTTCTTTTGTCCTTTTAAGTGGGTGAAGCTGGAAGGAATTTGGCTTACAAAGGGTAAAACCAATGTACAAGTCTTTGAAACAATTGTACTTAAATGCCAAAGAATCGGGTAATGCTAATTTTGACTGTCTTAGGCTTCTCACCTGTGGTTTCAATGTCTTTCTTGAAATAAAAGTATGAACAGGAATCCATCACTTTTGTTCCACTGGGATAAAGCCAATGACATGAAACAAGATCTCTAGACTTTCACACTCACAGCAAAGCAAAATATTTCTCCTGTTGTAATACACATTTGAAGAAAATGTTTGTTCCTAAAGTGCATATACACCTCTATAATTCTTAGGTTCTGAAGAACGTGATTGATGCAAATTATACTGATAAATCTGTCTCTTTAGCACCAACTCTACCTACCCTAATGGTCTAAACATTCATATTTCACATTGACTACTTTTCAAAACAAAATGTGATACTTACTTGTCTCCCACAATTCCCAGGTTGATTGTGGGGTAACCGTGTTCCTGAATTGTTGCTAGGAGGGTTGAACGATTGCTGTCTCGAATCTTTCCTGGTAAGAGGTCATCTTCAGGATTTAGGAGCTATAAAGCCAAAAAACCACCACTAATTATTTTCTTAGACAATGTTGCCTATTCTTATGAAAGAAAAGAGATGTGAATGGAGTATAGCATCTGTTATAGTGTCTGGCATGTAGAAGGTACATACTCAAAGGATCTTTAAATATATTTCAAGTAAAGGAGACTAGTGACCCAACAGTGGGCCAAATATCACACCAGCTTTGACTATAATTCAACAATAATGTTTAAACTTCTGGGCCTTTCTAGCAACTAACTATTATAAAACAACTATCTTTTGTCTGCCAATATTATCTCCCAATTTATCTTACAATGAGACCATCTGAAGTAAAAATTTAAGTCTGAAGAGCAAGATCACATACTTTTTTCTTTTAAGCTTTTTGGTCTGTTTCTGAAGTGGGATCAACAGTATAAAAGAAAAACTCTAAGACTGGCCTGATGGCACACGCCTTTAATTATAGCACTTGGATGGCAGAGGCAGGAGGCTCTGTGTGAGTTCAAGGTCAGCCTGGTCTACAGAGTAAGTTCCAGGCTAGCTGGGGCTACAGGGAGACCCTGTCTCAAAAAGCCAAAAAAAAGAAAAACAACAAAACTCTAAAGGAGACAGATGTTTTGTATCTGAGACTATCAACCTTAAACAAGTAATACTTAACTACACATATCTACAATTCCATTACATAGAATCAATAGGCCTTTTTTAAGACGTAATTTCTACTAGCACCTCTATGAAGAAAGCCAGACGAATCTTACTTACACTAGTCTGTTTTGAAATATTATAAAATTAAAAGAAGTACTTAATTTAGGGATCTGAGAAGGATCAACCCAGGGCCTCATATGCTTTAGTACTAAGCTACATCCTCAGCCCTCAAACTACTACTTGGAAATGAGATGGGAGGAGGTAGACAGTAAGCCTGTATGTACAACTCAGATGTTTGGCTGCTTATCTGGTGAATAATCAAGGCTTCTCATACCAGTTCTTACAAACAATTAAAGTCTTCTACCCCAGTCTTTCTGCTCTATTAGTGATATTACCTAGTCAGACTTTGGCTTTATGTTGAAAAAGCAGCAGCTTTGCAACTGACCATTTTCTTACAAATAGGCTAGAAAAAATTCTTTAACTGCCTTGTTTGGTGTTATCTGGAAGTCTTCCCTCAGATGCCACTTCAGTAATCCACTTCTATCCTTAGTTACTGGAAGTGATTTGAAAATTGTTATTGCAATGTAAATATAGATTAATTTCTTATATTTAACAAAATTATTGAATCATAATTCTGTAAGGGTCAACAATTGTAGCTCTTTAACTTCATTAATCAGACAAATTGCTTTAGAAAGAAAACAGTTTATATTATTATTTTTGGATACAAGGGTATTTTCTTTGTCCCTTTCTGTTATGTTGTTGCTAACAATTCCAAAAATAACACAACTATGGACCATCAGAGAACCAGTTCTTTGTAAAACTGAAATAATGAAATAATAGCTAGTTGAATGATGGGGTGGATTTAGAGCACATTTTAAGTATTTTCAAAGAACATCAAAATTAAGTGGATGGCTAAATATAAGAGAATGAACTCATATTTTTCTTCTTTACAACTTAATCTCATTTTCTGTTATATTTCCAGTCAGAAATAATGCTTAAAACTTACTTCAGTTAAAATGTGTAAGACAAAAAACAAAAAACAAAAAAGTAAAACAACAACAAAAGAAATCACCATATCCAGAACTTGTTGCTTTCCTGTCTACTACATAAATTCCAATATGCCACTTTTGGTATCGTCTGTGGTGCTGTTCACTATCTTCTTGCCTTTTCAATATTGAACTTTTGGATCATAGTTTTTACCTTTTTCTGTCTACCCTCCTCCCAAAGACCTCAGTAGTTGAAAATATTCTATTTTATCTC